GTTGGCTAAGGATTTCGGAAAGCGGCGTGGTCTAGGAGCTCGGCTACTACAGGGGCTGTAAGATGTGGGTCAAAACTGCAGCACGGCGTGATCGACGCATGCCTTTTGCATGGTTATGGGCATCTACCGAGGAGTTCACGTACTGGGGCTGCGCGCGCCACAGCGGCGCTGACGCGGCGCCTTCAGAGGTCTCGCATCCCCACTGTTGATGCCAAACAGGATAACGGGAATGCACGGCGCAGCACCATGCCCTCGACGTGGCAGTTGATCGCATATGCGACCCTTCAGACGCAGCCGCGCTCTGCGCGGCTGCGTCTGAAGGGCCCCTGCTTCTGCGCGAGCGCGGGCGGCTGCCAGCAGACCTTCACAAAGAGCGAGGGAAACTACATGGTCGACGCGAACGCTGCCACTGTCTTCCAGGAGGCCTTCTCGCCGAGTTCTGGCAGGACAGGCATGCGCAGAGGTGCCTTCGGCAATTGTATGGGAGACGCCCTATCTCTGGTTTGCCATGCGACTTATCACCGCTCGTGTTCGCTGACGACGTGGACGGGGCACACGTGGTGAGCGACGTGGATTCTTCTCGGGCTGTTTCCTCGAATTCACATTCTGCGCTGAATGATTGCTTGCGCCTGCGCGGGATTTTTCAGTGCGAGGTTAACGCAGGCGTGGCCGCATTGTTGGACATGGGGCCAACAAAAAATGTGTCTTTGCGCGCGGTATCGAGGGCCTCCCTGGGGTGGTCTGTCCTGTCATCCCGTTCCTGAGGGCGCTCTTCACTCCGTCTGGATCTTCGGCTTCGGAGGCCTCTGCGAGGTGTGCCGCTGCCGCTCGAGGGTGGGCCCGCATGGGGCGCTTCTGGTCACGGTGCATGCCTTGGCGGGCCAAGAAGATGGCCTTTTGGAGCAACGTCATTGTGGCTATCGTGTCTGCGATCGCGGCCGATGTCTTGTCCGGGTCGCAGATCGCGCCCGACTCGATTCTGTGTGTCTGGAATACCATCGGGCTCACCCTGGGAGGGGCATGTTCCGCTTGCTGGAGTACTCTGGAGGCGCGCGGGTCTTGTTCCCATGGGGGTTGGGTACACAGGCTCTGCGATTGGCAGAAGATCGCGAGGTCCCCCGGGTGGAATATTCAGTAGATAACTGCCGTTCTGGGCAGGTTGGGCATCGAGTTCCCCGCGGAGGCCCCCTGCTCGCGGCCCCCGTCCGAAGCCGCCCTGACGGCGGACACATCCAGGGCCATCCCGTGGGCAAGACAGTTCTTTCAGGACCTCTTATAAAGAGTGCGACGGAGGAGGTGGAGAGGGTGATAGAGTTGATTGGGGGCGACGACAGGATGCTCTCCAGGAAGAAGGAGGAGACTTTCGAAGCGTTCCAGAAATTGGATGACCAGCAGTCTAAAGCTGAGCGGTTACTTCGACGGGGCCCCCACGATGGCCCAGCCCCTGAGCTTGGAGAGATTGCCGAGGCTACGCAGTGACGGCCTGCGTTGTGAGCGACGTTTCGGTGCCCGTCGTGCCCTTCTTGCCCGCCAGCGGCGGGCGTCGGGGGGCCACCGCGGGCTTCGTAATACCATAGCCAAGCTTGCTGTGACCAACCAATGTACTGCCTGCTCCCTGACCATTCGCGATCGAGCCGCAGCTGTCCGACATCTCGTCAACTCGTACAGGTATGGTCAGTGCCTCGAGGACTCGTCGAAGTACAACTCTTCCAGCGTCGACCCCGAAGTTCGCGCGTGCCCTGAGTGCCTTGAGCCATTTCCTTTTCTCGAGCAGCTGAGTAAGCACCTGAAGGGCCACTTACCTGCACCGTTACCTGAGTTGGTTTGGTATGTTGCAGGCGTTTCCTGCTCCGAAGTTGCCAGGCGAGAACGCAGGGGCGCCCTGTCGTCGGCGCGCAGGGGGATCCACGGGGGGAGGCAATCCCATGCGCGGTGCTCAGCGCGGGGCTGCCAACAGGCACGCGCCCTCAGAGGAGCTGAGGAACTGGGCAAGATGGAGCTGGACGGAGTGCAGCCGGCCATGCCGATGGTGCTCAAGCTCCTTCTCAACGTGACCATGCGGACGCGCCAGACCGTGGCCATCGTCATGGCAACGTTCGTCATGCCAGAAAATGCCCTCCCCATTGCGAACTGTCTAGCAAGGGTTCGAGCCTGGGTCGAGCGACCAAGACCTCCGTGCGCGAGGCAAGGACTCAGAGATCGAGGCTACGGGCAGCGTCTCGCTGGCGGCCTTGCGCCTCCCCCCCCCCCCCCCCCCGAGGGCCCGAGGGCTGCATCGAGGCGGGGGGGGCGGTGGGCCAGGCGAGCGCCAAGAACGCGTGGCAGCAGGAGGTCACGAATATGTCTCTTCGCGAGGCTATGCAGACCTACCCGCTCGCGAAGGCCACGTCGGCGTTCGCGGACAACCGAACCAAGATCACGATTGCGATTCACGCGTCCTTGAGCGTGCTTGGAGACTGCTTAGAGCAGCTGGGGGCCGAGCGCAAGAATGAATTTGCTCCCATGAGCCACTTAGAGCTGGTTCAGCAGGGGTTCTTGGAGGAGACGGATATCTGAATCTGTATGAGGAGAATGCTCAGCGTACGTCCGCGGATTGTTGTGCGACTTCCTATGAAGATTGTGTGCCGACAAATCCTGACATCGAAGCTGGTGAAGTTACTCAGTTGCCCAGTGAGAAGATTGGTCAGGTGGATGCCTATGTGTTTTGTGTTGGGACTACGACTGATGACATACAGCGGGGCAGGACTGCGCATCGTAAACGTATCCTTACGGGGATGGATGGTTATGGTTTGAACGTTTGTGCTGCATCGGGTGCTGTACCACGTGCGCCTCTGACGTCCTCGAGTGGTGCCGCCCGCGACATCCCCTCCCCTAGTCCTCCTCCCTCCGAAAGGGGCCTGCTGCCAAACGTGCGTCGGGCTTGTCGGGCTCGGCCACGCGTCTCCTCGGCTTGGCGGTTTGAGTGATCAGTGCAACTTACGGTTTTCAAAACCCTATAAGTTTTGAGGGCGGACAAGAGGCTCGAACTCGCGGCCGATGGGTCGGTCCTAGAGCGTATGTGTTTGGCTGCAGACATTCACTGCTCCGAGAGGCGTTCGTCGTCGTCCTCCTCCTCTTCCCCCCCCCCGCCCCCCGAGCTTTTCGTCGAAACGCACCGCCTGGACCGGTCCGGGGGTGGATTGTCCAGGGGCGCCCTCAAGAAATGCATTTCAAATTTCGTAATACCCAGACCCGTTTCGCCTTGCGAAAAAAATCACGATATAATGGTTTTCCCTATTTTCGGTCTCCCCGGGCACTTCCCAGGCTTCGGGGCCGTCAAATATCAATGCGGGATGAAAAAAACGGTCCCGGGAAATAGGTCCAGAACTCAGGGGGCCGATGTTGTGAACAAAATTACGACGTCGGGGGTCCGCGTAAAAATGGTAGGGGGTTGCATTTTTCCGCGACGAGCAGTTGTAGACCTTCGCCAGACCAGCGATGAAAGGGCGGCCTTGTGCCCAGACCCTCTGGAAGCCTCCAGTACAGTTTAAATCAGACAGCTCCAACCAGATCAGAGATGGACGGCGGCTCCGTTCTAAGATGTGGTTCTCGCTTTAGCTTCGCGCGCATTCGTGCTGAAAGCTTACAATAGTTTCAAGGCGTTGTTGTGTTAAGGTTCCTCAAATGTTGTTCTGGGGTGATTTGGGACCGTCCGGACGCAACACTTCGGTAGATTCGCCGTGCTGAAGTTCCAGGAATGATGATCTGGCGCCATTTGAGAATGTGGGAGCGCACCGCAGCGTGGATTCGCAGCGTCGAAATTGCAGAGAATTGTGTTTGGCACCGTTGGGAATTTCCATGCGCTTGAATTTTATATGACATCTTCCGCAATAAACGGGCGCTCTTGTACGAAGGTATACATGAAGAGGATACTCTGGAGAGGGTTTATAGCAGCAACGTTGATGTGCCTTGGGCTTACACTAGTCCTCCTCCGCCGCCTCCTCATCCTCATCATCAGCATCAGCATTATCGTCATCATCATAATCCTCATCGTCCTCATCAGCAGCGTCCCTATCAGCATCCACATCCTCATCATCATCATCATCATCATCATCAGCTTCTTCATCATCTTCATCTTCATCATCCTCAGCATCGTGATCATCATCCTCAGCATCATCATTATCATCATCATGATCATGGTCATCACCATCATCATCATCATCATCATCATCATCATCATCATCATCATCATCATCATCATCATCATCTGCCCCTTATCTTCTAGTTCTGTGGAGGACGGTGGACGGAGGTGGAGGGCGCCAGGGAGGAGCCCTCCGCGCGCGCACCCGCCAGGCTCTGGGAGGCGCGCCCTGGGCGGCCCCCCCGGCGGTGGCGGCGGACGGCCGGGCGCAGCTGTCCGAGGCCGCCGGGCTGCCAATCCCGAAGCTGCGGGGTCAGAGGTGGCGAGGACGTCCCGGGGGAGAGGAGGAGGAGGCGGAGGAGGAGGGAGAGGAGGAGGAGGAGGAGGAGGAGGAGGAGGAGGAGGAGGAGGAGGAGGAGGAGGCCGAGGCGGAGGAGGAGGAGGAGGAGGAGGACGACAAGGAGGAGGAGGAGGAGGACAAGGAGGAGGAGGAGGAGGAGGAGGAGGAGGAGGACAGCGGTCTGTCGAGCCCTGCCGATCTGCGATGGCCTCCGGGCGCGACGCCGGGGGAAGATGGCCCGCGTGAGCAAACAGGACACGCCCGGATCTCGGGGAAGGCGCGGACGACGAGGGGGCAAGGCGGCGACGATGAGGCAGACACAGACATCCGATGCTTGTGGACTTTGTCCACACGGGCGGCTCCCCCGGCAGTCCCGACTCGGTTTCTCCAAGGGCCAGCGCTTTGATCCCGGGGCCCGGCGAGGGCCCCTGGAGGCCCACAGCAGCTAAGTATTGTTCGTGATCGTTTTCTTATTCATTGTTCTGCCGATCGGCACGAGTCCTCGCCCCCCCCTTCCACCCCCGTGGAGGAGATCTTGGCTGTTTGGGCCGCCTGTGTCGAGCAGGTGGAGTCTTCCCCCCATGGGACGCACTGCTGCAAACTGTCGCAGTACGCAGAGGTCCGGAGCCAAACCCCTCCTGCCCCCCTTTCCGCCCAATGTCGCCACGCAGATATAAGAAAACGTTCACCCTACTGCTTCACGACGGCGTCCTGTCTGGGAGCGATGACGAGGAAGACGAGAAGGCGCCGAGCCAGCCAGCGACTTCGCACCACGAGCAGCGCATCGGCGACGCCCTCGAGGAGCTGCAGCTGCGCCTCGAGGCGGTGATCGCTGGCTCTACGCCGCAGCACGGGCTGGAGCTGGAGGCCAGGGCTTTCACGCAACGAGGGTCAGTGTTACGTCGGGCCTGTCCCCCCTACAGGGGGATTTTCGATTTTTTTTTGTTGACAATAGTCAAAAGATACTCCAAAAATAGTCTGGGGGCTATGTTTTGAGTATTTTGGTTGCCTTGTTGGAGTATGTTCGGGGTATTTTTTATTTTTCGTCGAAGGTCCTCCTGTAGGGGGACACGCCCGACATAAGGTCAATGGCATTTTTGGGAGGTTTGGGGGGGGAGGGGCAGCATTCGAGGTGACGAGGCGATCTGGCGTTCTCTGTCGGCGGTTTTCCGGCCCTGGGATTAAGTCGGGCCTGTTCCTCTACAGGGGGAATATGCACACGTAGTCAAAAAGTTGTCTGGGGACGACGCTTTGAGTATTTCTGTTGTCATTTTGGTGTATTTGCTGCATTTTTGTAATTTACTTGCGTCATTTTGGTCATTTTGGTGTATTCTCTTTTTTTTCATTTTGGTGTATTTGTTGGTCATTTTGGTGCATGTTTTGTCATTTTGGTCATTTTGGTGTATTTTCTTGTACTTTTTTATTTTTGTTGCGTCCACAGTCCCCCTGTAGGGGGACAGGCCCGACTTCACCCGTGGGATGTGATGCCAGTCGTTGGGGGCGACGGGCTCGTGGTGGGGATGCGGCCAACCCCCGGAGGAACGTGCGGGCTCGCCACCGGTGGCCTGTCGCCGATCTGTCGGCGGGAGCCTGTTTTTCCTTTAGATCAGGCAAGCTTACTTGCATGGCGTTCGCCCCCCCCCCCCCTCTCTCCCCCTCGCCCCTCTTCAATCGAACACGAGCGTGCAAGTGCCTTTCGACTTGCGTGATTTCCGCACGTCGAATTGTTTTCGGCTTGCTTCAGACTCAGCCCCCCCCCCGTCGATGCAAGTAAACTTGCCCGAATCCAAAGAAAAACAGGCACCGGTGCGTCGCCGATTCCAGCTGTTTCCCGCCCCCCCCTCTGAGCTGCCCCCCCCCCCTGGCGTTGCCCCTCTCGGGCGATCGCAAACATGCATCAAGGGGCTCGTGGATCAGCGACGGGCCCCGTTTCCATGGGACATCGCGGATTTCCGCCGCCGAGCCAGGCGGCTTTGGCCGCAGTTTGGGGAGGGCACCTCCCCCGGTCCATGGCTTTGGCGACCGCGCGCCACATCCATGGATCGCTAATCCATGTTAGTGCGCCCCCGAAGTTGGTAAACTGTTCCCGGTGCCTCTATAAGGAGGCCGGCGAAAGTTCCGGTCGAAAGAACCAAGGTAAATTCCATGCTGTTTTAAGAAGTTTGAATATCGGGATCCGCAGTCCCCCGCTTCCTTCGTACAATAGGGGGTGCAAATCATTTTGCGCGCAGAATCACCGGTACGAAACGCGGTCTGGAGGCCCCTCGAAGCTGCAGAACATGCGACAATGTTGACTTGTTGCGTGCCCGCTCGGGGACTGTGCGTCCTGCGCGAAACCGCCGCTTTTGCAGAACTTGCGGGACTTCGGCGCGCCAGGGTGCCCAGGTGGCTCTGGGAATGCGGCAAGTGCGTGAAGACACGTGGGCTCCTAGCCTTTCCAGAGCGGGACAGGTGTGAAGACGCGTAGGCTTCCTTTGTCGCCCCAGAGCGGAACAAGCGGTGAAAGCATGCGGGCCCCCCTTCGCCCCAGAGCGGAACCAGCGCGAGGCCACGCGGGCCCGTGTCGCCCCAGAGCGGGACCAGCGCGAGACCACGCGGGTCCTCCTCGCCCCAGGGCGGAGCAGGCGTGTGTTCCGTGGGCCCCTTTGTCGCCCCAGAGCGGGGCAGGTGCGAAACCACGTGGGCCCTCGGGCTCCGGGAGGCACCCGGAGGCTCTGCAGGAGGCCCCGCGAGGCTCCAGGAAGAGCCGCAGGAGGTCCCCGCCGTCGCCCCCGAGGTGCCATCCCCCCTTTCGCCTGGGCGGCGCGCTCCGAGGGGTGTGGCGCGCGGGGGCGGCCTCCGCAGAAGGCGGGGGCACTTCTCGGAGGGTCCCTGGCAGCTCCCCCGCTCTCTTGGAGGGCGGGCCCCCCTCGCGCCACCCCCGGATGCGCGCCGCCCGTGCCGTCCGACCCCAGCGGGGGCTCGAAGGATGCTGCCCCTGGGCCAGGCCTCGGGGGCGGCGCTACAGCCGGACCCAGGGGCAGAAAGGCCTCCGCCTCGTGCAAGAACGTGAAGACCATCCGCGGGCCGAGACGCCCCAGACCATGGGATCGATTCGAGGGTGCCCTCCCCCAGGAGGCACGAGCGCCTCCAACAGACACCGAGAACATGTAGGGCACCCTCCCCCGAGCCGATCTTCATCCCACACCCTAGGCGATGCTTAAGAACACTTGAGTTTTCGGCCAGAGTCTCGATGATTCTTAATGTTGCCATGTGAATCCCAAGATTTGCATAGAACCTCCTTGGGTTTTTGTATAATTCAAATTCTGAGACTATGGATTTCTTAACCCATGAATCCTTGAGCCCTTCGCAGGGTGTGTACGTCGGTCCGACCGCATGGGGATCTCTGTCTGCCCCAGGACCGCGCGCGCGCGGCCGAGGGGGCGGAGGTCTCGCCGAGCAGCCCCGCCGCCGGCGCGGGCGGGGGCGGCGAGCGAGTGCACCAGGAGGCTGGGCCGCCCTCGCCCCACGGCCGCCACCGCGCCGCTGCTCCTCCGCCCGCCCGTTCCTCTCGGGCCGGACGAAAGGGGGGGATTGGGAAAGGGGGGGTTACGTAAAACGACGCGAAGATCGAAACAAAATCGGATCGGGATAATTCGAAATCTCTGAGAATCGGCGGGTTTGGAGGATGTATTGGGCGCCGCGGCCGCTCCAGAGCGATCCGGAACGCTCTGAGAGCGCTCCGGAACGCTCTGGAGCGATTTATCCCGATCCTAGCCCTGTTTTAGGTTACGAAATGTGCTGCATGCATCTGGTTTCGTCCTCACCGAGGGGGCCATTTCTCGATAGATAGCCGCCTCCGGCGCCGGGAGGCGACGGGAAAATCAGCTACGTGAGCTGATTCTCAACCCCCCCCTCTGCTATCCCCCCCTTTCGCCCGACCCGATCCTCCTCGCCGAGGGGCGGGCAGTCATAAGAGGGATTCAGGAGGGAGAAAAAAACACACAGACACAATTAATCGTCGATTCCCAAAACATCTGGGAAAACATGGGAAGTGGGGAGAAGACGAAAACCCCCCCAAAAATATGGACAAATATAGGGAATCCTTGTAGTTGTGTGTATTTGTGTGTGAGTGTCTCCCTGGGCCACTTGAAGGATGCGCCCCGAAGATTTCCAGGATTTCCTGGATGTCCCGATGTTCCACGGTGGCTGCAGAAACGATGCCCGTCAACAGTCAACCCGCACAGCAAGAATGGGCGCTTTTCCCAAGGGCACCCTTGCATCTTGGCCTCCTCGGTCCATCCTTCGCCATTTTCGTTGGCCGCGCCCCGCTCGAAAAGCGTCGAAATGGGCGTCCGAGGCCCTTACATCTTCATCGCGCATTCTTCTGATACGGGCCGACAGTATTCTGGAAAGCCTGGAACGTCTATCCTGATTTCATCCTCTCACGACATTATTCCCGTCCTACCCTCCTCATCCTTCCCCTGGCGTCCCCTCCCTCCTCCTCCTCATCTTCCTCCTCCTCGTCCTCCTCCTCCTCCTCCTCCTCCTCCTCCTCCTCCTCCTCCTCCTCCAGGTCCTCTTCCTCCTCATTCTGCTCCCTGATATCGTCTCCCTTAGGTTTCGAATGCCCCGAGTCGGTGCAGGATCGGCTGACGCGCCTCTGCACAGTCGTTCATTCGTTCGTTCTCTTCTTCCCCCTATCTTCCCCTTTCTCCTCCCTGCCACATCCTCCCCTGTGTTGTTGTTCCCCCTTGCTTCCCCCCGCTTCCTGCTCCTACGCCTGCCAGCTCCTCGTCCTGATGCAGCTCCTTTCTAGCAGGAGTGGTAAACAGGAGGGGGGCGGGGAGTGGAGAGAGGAGGGAGGAGGAAGGAGGGAGGAAGGAGGAGAGAGGAGCGAGGAGGAGCGGGGGGAGGAGGAGGAAGAGGAGGAGGAGGAGGAGGAGGCCGAGGAGGAGAAAGAGGATGAAAATATCGGAGGAGGAGGAGGAGGCTGATGATGATGATGATGATGATGAGGAGGAGGAGGAGGAGGAGGAGGAGGAGGAGGAGGAGGAGGAGGAAGAGAGGAGAGGAGAGGAAAGAGGAGAAGGAAGAGCAAGAGGAGGAGGAAGGAGGAGGTGGGGGAGGAGGAGGAGGAGGGAGGAGGTGGAGAAGGAGGAGGAGGAGGAGGAATTGGGAGGGGAAGGAGCCTATGGAGGCTTCTCGAGGCCAGGAATGGGTCACAGGCATATCCGAAGGCGTCGGGCCCCCTCGATCCCCGACCATCCCCTGGATCCTCGATCCTCCTCGCTTCTCGATCATCATCAATCCTCGATCCCCACCGATCCTCCTCGACTTTCGATCATCCTCAATCCTCGATCCTGTTCGATCATCCACACCTCTCTCAATCTTGGACCGTCCTCGGTCTTCCCCGATCCTCTTCGGTTAGCATCATCCTCGATCCTGGATTCGCCTAGATCCGCTTCGGTCCTCGTGATCCTCATATCCTCGATTCTTCTGGATCGTCCCTACCCTCGATTTTCAATCCTCCTCGAGTCTCCACGATCCTCAATCCTCCTCGATTCCCGATGCTCCTCGATCATCGATCCTCCTCGATCCTCCTCGCTCCTCGAACCTCCTCGACACCCGATGCTCCTCGATCCTCCTCGACCCCCGATGCTCCTCGATCCTCCTCGACCCCCGATGCTCCTCATTTCCTCCTCGACCCCCGATCCTCCTCGATCCTCCTCGATCCTCGATCCTCCTCGACCCCCCTCGATCCTCGGATTCCCTCGACCCCCTCGCCTCGCGGCGGCGGGCACCCGCGGGAGAGAGCCCCCCCCTGGATGCGGGCCCGGCTGCAGGCGCCGGCGCCCGAGCCCGACGACCTGGCCGACTGGCTCCGGGTCCGGGAGCCGGAGGACGCCCGTGCTCTGCCCGGGGGGCGGCCAGGAGGGGGGTGATGACTAAAACGACGCGAAGATCGGGACAAAATCGGATCGGGACAACCCGAAGTCTCTGAGAATCGGCGGGTTTGGAGGATGTATTGGGCGCCGCGGCCGCTCCAGAGCGATCCGGAACGCTCTGAGAGCGCTCCAGAACGCTCTGGAGCGACTTATCCCGATCCTAGCCCTGTTTTAGGTGGTGACCCGGGGGGGGCGGCTATCAGGGCGGGGGCCATGGTACCTCCCCAGATTTCAGGGCGCCTCGTCTTACTATGGTACCTCAACGCGTCCCCGGCCCCCCCACCCCCAGACATCCGACGTCTCGATCTTTGTCGAGACGCGGGCCTCCGACCTCCCGACCACCTCCCCGGTACCGGTTTCTCATCCCGAGTCGTTTTTTGACGGTCCCGAGGCTCGGCGAGGGCCCCGAGGGCCCAAAAGTTGGAAAAGAAACTTCGCCTCGATTTCCTCGAGGCGCCCGGGGCCTGGGCCCCCTGGGCCGCGCACGTGCCGCCGGCCGTGATTTGCGCGCCCCCCCTCGTGGAGGCCCGAAATGGGTACGGCAAAAATGGGCACAATGCCCAACAACAGATGTGGTCCAAAACCGACAGCGACAGCTGTCGGGCAGGCGGCCCTTGTCTTCAATGAACGACGCCCGCGGCGGCGCGGACAGCGAGTCCTGTTCAAAATGAACAGGAACTGCTGTTGGGCATCGTACCCATGCTTTCCGTACCACTTTCCATCGTCCCGATCGTGGACGCCCCCCTCTTGGACGCCCCCCACACTCTGCGCCCGTCGAGCGTGTCCGCTTCACCGTGGTTGCCCTTCTGTTCTGCCCGTGGGCCCTTCCGCCGCGGTCTGTTTCGGAGGAGGAGGAGGCACCGACACTGGAGGAGGAGGAGGAGGAGGAGCAGGAGGAGGAGGAGGAGGAGGAGGAGCAGGATGATGAGGAGGAGGTGGAGGAGGTGGGGGAGGAGTGGGCACCGACACTCGAGGAGGAGGTCCGCCGCGTTTTTTTCGGAGGAGGAGGAGGAGGAGGAGGAGGAGCACCGACACTCGAGGAGGAGGAGGAGGAGGAGGAGGAGGAGGAGGAGGAGGCACCGACACTCGAGGAGGAGGAGGAGGAGGAGAGGAGGAGGAGGAGGAGGAGGCCCGCCGAGGAGGAGGAGGCACCGACCCGCGAGGAGGAGGAGGTGGAGGAGGAGGAAGAAGAGGAGAAGGGAAGGAAGGAGGAAGGAGAAGGAAGGAGGAAGGAGGAGGAGGAGGAGGTGGAGGAGGAGGAGGAGGATGAGGAGGAGGAGGAAGGAGGAAGGAGGAGGGAGGAAGGAGGAAGAGGAAGGAGGAAGGAGGAGGAGGAGGCACCGACATTTGAGGAGGAGGAGGAGGAGGAGGACGAGGAGGAGGAGGAGGAGGCACCGACACTCGAGGAGGAGGAGGAGGAGGAGGAGGAGGCACCGACCCGCGAGGAGGAGGAGGTGGAGGAGGAGGAAGAAGAAGAGGAGAAGGAGAAGGAAGGAGGAAGGAGAAGGAAGGAGGAAGGAGGAGGAAGGAGGAAGGAGGAGGAGGAGGAGGAGGAGGAGGAAGGAGGAAGGAGGAAGGAGAGGGAGGGAGGGCAAGCCACGGGCTGAGGAGGGGCCCGCCGCCGCGTGGGGTCGTGTCGTCCCCTCGTTCGGCCAGCCCCGTCAGCCCGGGCCAGCGCGCCGCGGCGCCATTAAAGAAGCAAAGCTGAAGAGAAGCGCCGCGGCCGCGACGCCTAGGCTAAAGAAAGACGCCCAGGCAGAAGGAAGAAAGTTGGCACAGGAGGGCCCGCATAGCGCGAGGCCACGCCAGGACACTCCTGAAGGTAGTCGAGGCCTCCAGACTACTTGCAGATCATCACTCAGCACAGCCCTTCGACAACATGGCGAAGAGTTGGAAGCAGCAGCAGCAGCGCGGCGCCTCGAGGGAAAGGTGGTCAGGAGCAGGGACCACACACCTCGAGGCGTCTCAGCGCGGCCCTGGGAAAAGGTGGACAGGAGCAGGGCCCACAGCCCAGGCGCAGCGCCAGCGCAGCGCAGACTGGACTGGCGACTACGGAGCCATTGGTGGGCGGCCCTGGGAGTGGCAGCAGCATAGTCAGCAGCAGCAGCAGCAGCCACAGACCCACAAGCGCCACCAGCAGCAGCAGCAGCAGCCACAGACCCACAAGCACCAGCAGCAAAGCGACAGCGACCAGCACTGGAAGCACAGAGCGCCCTGGAGGAGCGCCTCAGCCAGAAAGAGAAGCGGCAGGCGCAGAAGAAGGGACCAGCTCGACATGCCTGCCGCAGCCCACATCGGCAGCTACCAGTACAGCCCCCAGCAGAAGGCAGTCCTGGACAGCATCACGCCAGTCTCCTTCGCCGTCGCGATGGAGCACGAGAGCTGGTCCGCACCTCCAGATGACGAAGAGATGAGGTTCGTGTGGTACAAGACCAAGTGCCACAGGCTGGGGCGTCTCACCGAGAACATCGCAGGTGCTAGGCTGGCCGGCTTGTGCACAACCAGCCTCGAGCAGGAAGCGGCGATCACCGCCACGAACATCTCCTTCGTCCTGCCCCACAAAGAACGCATGAGGCAGCTCAGGGCCACGCTGGAAAAGCTGGAGGAGGAGCATGCAGAGATGGAGAAGCGGCTCAGCAAGATGCTGGACCAGGAGGCGACGGCAGCCAGAACCATCAGGGTCTACAAAACCCTGATGAGGGAAACCAGAGATCAAATGGCCAAGTCGGCGGGAGTAAAGGACGAATCATCCGAGGAAGATGGGAGCCATGATCCCACCAGAGGACGCACGCCACATCCAGCCGCGAGGAGAAGGCGCGACCCTGCGGCAGCTCCAGCGGCTCCGGCCATGGCCCAACCAGCCACAGCTCAGCCAGCCCCAGCCCAGCAGCCCCGACCAGTCCCAGCAGCATCAGACGAGATCAAAGACGCCATCAGGAGATTGACCGAGAGGCTTGATTCGCAGCAGAAAAAAGAACAGCAGCAAAGCGACCTACTTGCACAAGCAGAGTTCAAGCACAAAAGCGAACTGAAGGCCTACGAGCAGACCATCGCGCAAAAGATGTACCACACGACCGAAGAGCAGTTGGCCAAGCAGGAGAAGTGGCACATATGGGAGGTCAACGCTCTCAAGCGGCACCACAACGCCAAGCTAGAGGAGGAGGAAGCAAAAGCATACGAAGCACAAAGAGGCACCCAGAGGACACAGGAGGAAAGGGCCAAAGGGATGCTAGCAGACCTGCAAATGCATATCGAGATGGAAAAGAAGACCTTGCGCGAGGAGATGCACATGGAAGACCAGAGAAGAGCAGCCATCTACACGCAGCAGGTCCAGAAGGCCAGGCAGGAGGAGCAAGCTGTGAGAGAGATGGCAACCCAAGAGGCCCAGTGGTACAAGATGGCGCAGGAGCACAACGAGAAGGCGATGCAGGAGATGGCGGAGGCGGAGTACCAGGAGAGATGCGCCCGCCACAGCGCTTATAAGGAGGAGGAGCTGCGGATCGCAGTGAACTATCAGCAGATGGCCCACGAGCATCAGGAAGAAGCCAACAAGCGCGAAGCGATGCGGGTCGTCCTGAACTTGGAGCACGCAGCCATCCAGGCGAAGGCATACGAGATGCAGCACGAGCAGGAAAGGTATCTGGAGCGCGTCGGCGAGCACCAGGAGGAGGTGGACAAAGCCCAAAGGATGGAGGAGGTGGCACTGCAGCGACAAGCAGCAGCCACAAGCGAGCTCCATGCATTACAGCAGCAGCAGGAGATGGAGAACCAAGCGGCGCACCAGTACCACAGTACACTGCAGCACCAGTGCCAGCAGGAGATGCAGGCCATCGCGCAGCACTACGCCCACAACCATCATATGAACGAAGCGCAGAGGCAGCAGCAATTACAAGACCTCCAACGGGCACATGATTTGCAAACGGCTGGACTCCAGACTGCACTACGGGATGCCTGGGGAGCAGGAGGACAAGTGGACGAGGACCTGCTAATCGACATGACGGAGGACCTCAGGGGAGACACAGCCACGAGCGAGCGTGACCAAGGCATGGCGGACCAGGAGGGCGCGTACCAGAGAGAGCAACTTGAGGCAGACTTACTTCGGCTGCTACCTAGCCAGTACGAACTTCCACATCCAGAACTGCCGCCGTACCTCGAGGAGCTGGCCGAGGTGGGATTTGGAGAGAGGTCCCATACATCGTCTATGCCAACGCCAGAGGGGCCTACCCCCTCGTCGAGCGACGACCTCAGCTTCCAGAACCAAAGCTTTGTGCCGAGGACATCCGCCGAAGAGTGGCCGCTCCCCCCACCACCACCACCTCAGCAGCGCCAGCACATCGAGGAGTACAACAGGGTCGGCTCCTCTTCGCACTCAGGGATGCTCGAGGTACGGGCGAGCAGCGATTGCATCCCAATTGGCGAATCCGACGACGCTGACCTGCTGGACGAAGAGTGGAAGAACCGCCAAGGCCTGAGCAAGGAGAAGGAGGGCGAAGCCCCGACAGACCTCGCCTCACTCTCACCAACGATGCCAGCCGACTCACCCATCCCGACGGAACAGCCCACGCCAAGACACATACTGTTTCCGCCCGTCACGCCTCTCACGCCACACAAAACCCCACAACAGCGTTCACAGACAGCCAAGACTCCCATGACGACGCTGTTCATCGACCTCAGCCGCGACGAGGAGGATTGCCCCAGCACACCTCCACGGATGCCGATTGAGGATATCACGCCCACCGAGCCACACGAGCCACGACTGCCACCACCGCGTTTCCACTTGGGCACACCAGAGAGGACGAGCTCGGCACCTCCATGCAGAGGTAACCTGAAGCAACCAAGGGAACCCAGGAGGGCGAGGAGCCAGCCGAAAAAGGTCAGGATCTGCGACGCGGACGATGGCTTCGCGGACCCAGGTGACAGAGTGGCATCCTTCATCGAGAGCGGCGAGAGCGACC